TTATAAATTTTAATTTATGTTTGAATAAATCCATCAAGTTTTTATGACAGCCACCATTATGTTTATATAAAAAAAAACGAATTGAAGTAGAAATATGTAATTGTAACTTTATTATTTTAAAAACTTAATTAAGTGTAATTTTAACAAATCAGTCAATTTTAACCTTCAATATTATAGTAATGTAGTATCAACTGACTCTCATGTATATTTTATAAACAAATGGCCAAGCAAGCGTACGACACTGACAAGGTACGCGATACAGTATAAGACCAAATGCGATTTCAGCACGTCTCCACACAGTAAACAAAACAAGCATTTCCTAGCAACGATAACTGCGCTAAACACTGAAACAAGAAATAAATACACTTACGAGCTGCTTTTAACTTCTGCTGATTGACTGCTTCTCTCAAAGAGTATTTCTTTCTAGCAACGACAATTGCGCTAAATACTGAGACAAGAAATAAATACACTTACGAGCTGCTTTTAACTTCTGCTGATTGACTGCTACTCTCAAAGAGTATATCTTCATACTGTGTTTTGCTGGCGTTTGAACACACTTTCCTGTTTATCACAACAAATACCATCATACGTCCAAATAGTTTTTTGAAACTTTGGCCATGTTTAGCATGAGAATCCAACTCTTTAACAGTGTAAATAACTCAGAATGCATGAAATAGCATTAGACACCCCACCCCTTTTACCTAGATGGCTTCAAGCCAAACATCATTCCAACGTTGTTCCAAACCTGTATGACTTTCCATTTTCCTGTTTTTTTTTGTGGGAATAAAAAAAAAGCAGATGTTAGAAAAACATTCACTTCTTTTCCATACTTTTCCATAAGCTGAAAATGAATAGTGACTGAGTCTGTTATTCTGACTAACTTCTCATTTTGTGTTCTAAGAAAAAAAGAACGTCATATGAGTTTGTAACAACAAAAGGGTGAGCAGAAGACAGAGTACTCATTTTGAGGCAAACTATTCCTTTGAACTTCCAATTTTGTTGAAATGGTGGCACGCAAAATATTATTTGTCCCCGACTTCAGTGAATTCTTTGCACTCTGAATCCAGATACAGTTGAGTAAGACCTTATCTTACATGACCCTCTCTAGATATTCATCTCTAATTGATTAATTGATTTGTCCACTTCAGCTGTAAAACTACTGCTGTGTCTTCACAGTTGATACTTAATTTACTGCCAGCAGTGAGGATTTTGACCTTGTACTCTCTGTTTTACATGGAGAATATCTGGAAGAGAATATTGACCCGTCAAAAGGCTGTAAAACCACATCGTTTTGATAGGAGAGTTAAAACAGTTGGTCTTAAGCCACATAGACAATTGCTTGATCTTTTTGATGACATGGCGAGAACAAAATCTGGAGTCAGATGTTTTCTGTGTTGTTGTGATGGCCACAATTTTGTAGTTTGAATTCTTACAGTTTGTTTCTGTCTAAAGAAGCGCAAGAGTGCCTAAACCACTTTTTTTCTCTCTCAGGAATGACATGCGTTTTGATAGGAGAGTTAAAACGGTCTTAAGCCACATAGACAATTGCTTGATCTTTTTGATGACATGGAGAGAACAAAATCTGGAGTCAGATGTTTTCTGTGTTGTTGTGATGGCCACAATTTTGTAGTTTGAATTCTTACAGTTTGTTTCTGTCTAAAGAAGCGCAAGAGTGCCTAAACCACTTTTTTTCTCTCTCAGGAATGACATGAAACTGGGCCACATCACAGAAGCCATATAGTGAGAAAAAATGTGTTTCTAATTACTGGAAAGGAGAGCAGGAAAAAGGTAGATAACAAAATGCTCACATTGGCGTGTTTCACATATAGGCTTATTTTAAGAAAGATATAAATCTCTGATTTCTCTAGTGAGATGTGTTATTCTACGTATTTATGTAATCTTAAACATTCAGGTAATTTTTTTATTATTATTATTAATTGGTCAGCAACCAGTGGATAGCACAAAAAGCATATTACAAATCAGAATCACAACAAAAAAACAATAATAATATTAACAACAATAATATAAACAAAAGTAACAAAAACATAT